AGAACTGCTTCTATAAACATCACTCTTAAAGCACCTTTTTGGTAACTCTTGCATACCATATTTTATTAGTTAATTATTTTAGTTTATTATTTAATTATTTGGTATCATGTAATTAAGATTTTATGAAAATAATAATATCATATTAAAAGTTTAATAAAATAAGAATTTTTCTATCAGTATGATAAAAATTCTATAAATATCCTAAATATAACAATCTAAAGAATAAAAAATAAAATAATTTTTTTCTTCAAAAATTAACATGATATCAGAAACAAAATAAAATTATATTAAAATTCCAAATTCAAGATCTTTACAAAATCCTAAAAATCTTATCTCACCAACAGCTCAAATGGAACCACCACTCACTGACAGCCCATCAACCAAATCGGGGTGTCGTCTCTCCCGCACATGAGCCACACACGCTGCCGGCAATGGAAGCGTGTGATCCCCGCGCACAGCCAGGAATCAGCTCATTCCGGTCAGAATCGCATCGCACAGCCGTTGCACGCCCAGATCCGGCCCTTTTTTGGCACTTCGCACACAATCCAGCATAGATTGTGTGTCCAGGTTCCTGCCTTTAGACAGCTGCGTGCATTCGACCGACCCACTGTTCTGCGCCCTCCACCGCGTCGTTCCCGCCGTTCGGTGCCTAGAGGCGACTCATATAGACCTCCCGCGCGCCACCCCACTCCGAACGCGCACTGAACTGCACTGCATTGTTGCACAGACGTCCTCCGCCATGCCATTCCGGCTTTCCACACACAGGGACATCCAATCTCGCCATTCCGCCCGTCGGGCCACCCCGATATGGTTCATCCGCACCTACGCCGAGCTGTCTACGTCTGAGCTGCTGCCTAACCGCGCCTATCTGAGCCAAGCCGAGTTCAATCTGGTTTTTAAGTCAAGTTTGAGCCGTTTTGAGCCGAGTTCGAGCTTTTTTTGAGCCGGCTTTGAACCGTTTTTTAGTCAAGTCCAAGCCCTTTTTTAGCCGAATCCGAGCTGTTTTGAGCTGAGTCCTGATCTTTTTGAGCCCAACTCGAGCCGTTTTTTAGCCGAA